GCTTTGTTAGAGTAGCTTTCAATCTTAGGCTGACACTTTCCCCTTTACTGAACAGTCTACCCGATGCCCTGCTTATTACGGGTTTTACACTCTGACTGGTGGGAATACAAACTATTCTCTACAACAGTTATTCTCCTTGTTCTCTCTGGTGGTTCTTTCCCTGGCTTCAGGTAGGTTTTTACACACAGGTGCTTATCATTACTCAGCTGAAGACTTGAAAGTACCCTCTGCAGATATCTTGAGCTCTGTCTGTGCAGTTCTCTCTTCTCCATGCAGCTCTCTTCTCTCCTGTACTCTTCCCTGCAAATTCCAGCTGCCTTGACCTCCCCAAACTTTCAAATCTGTCCCTTCAACTCAAGGAGATCACCTGTTTGTGTATCGCTTCTCTGATTGTGGCCAGGAAACTTCACCCAGAGAGTAAGCTGAGGCAATCATAGCACTCACCTGATTTCTCCCACTTACCTTAGGGATCACTGTCCTCTACTGGTTGTTGTCCAATGTCTAAAATTATTGTTTCATATATTTTCCCCGTTTTTTAAAAAAGATATTTAACATGGGAGGGTAAATCTGGCCCATTACCCCATCTTGCCTGGGAGACATATTCCTGAGTAAATATTTTACACCATTCTCTGAACTCTAAGTGGTTTCATCATTGGCAATAGACTGGGTTCTTTCTAGAAACTTTAGTATTAGGCCTATTAGAAGTTCCTGGACAGGCACCATGGAAGTTTACAATTATATATGTTATTACTCTGTCTTCTAATTATTTCAGATGTATTTGTCTTGTTTTCTTAAGCAGACTGTAAAGTCTTTAAGGTCAGGAGCCCTCTAAGTCTTATTTTTTATGCCCCCTCCCACTGACTAGACACATTTTTAAAACTCTTAATCTTTACCTAGTGAAAATTTCATTTGAGGTGTGAACAAATAATACACTTGGGATTAGAATTTATGTTAAACATCAGGACGACATAATCAAATGCTATTAAAAATGAATGCTTGAGTTCCTGGTGGCTCAGTTGGTTGAGTGTCCCCCTCTTGATTTCAGCTCAGGTCATGACCTCATAGGTTTCAGGATCAATCCCCATGTCAGGCTCCATGCTGACAGCTCAGAGTCTGCTTGAGATTCTCTCACTCTCCCTGTCTCTCTCTGCCCTCTCCCATGTGTGCACCCTTTCTCCTTCTCTCTCTTTCAAAATAAATAAACCTAAAAAAATGCATGCTGATTCATCCACTATGTATGTATATACACAAGTATATATATACATACACACACGCACTACCACCATCACCCTCATTGAGGTCAGATGAGAAATTTTTCCTGCGCACCTAACTTTTTAATATCTCCTTAAGACAATAATATAATAATGAAGAATGAAGATAAATGAAAATCCTGGAAAATCAACAAACTTAGCAGCCAGTTCTTCAGCAACTGAGAGCTCTTATCCTTCATGTAAAAGCATATCTGAATATTAGTCAAAGTAAATGTTCGTAAATTAATATGGAATTAGATCATTTTGGAATTTTGCCTTTTCCACCAATGAATTGTCATTAATTCTACTCTAAATAGAAATAAGAAAAATTAGAATTATCTTTGTCTGCTTTGTCTATTCTAGTAATGCATAGGGAAAAAAATACACTGCAATTTCATTCACTCCCTCCACAACAAATATGCACTTAATCACCAATAAATGGATTCCAGTTTCTGTTCCATGTGTTGAAGATCCTGCTGAGGGGAAGACGCAAAATGCCTTGTTCTTATGGGATGTTTTCTCTTGGTACTATTTACATATGGAGGCTTTATGTAGGTTAATGATGTAATATATTTATTGTATGTGAGTTATTGTGGGTTCATCCAACAAATCATTTGTTGAGTACCTCATACATTCCAGACATTTTCCTAGGCATTTATGATATAGCCATGAACAAAATGAATTTCTTCCTCCCAAGGAGCTTATATTTGGGGTAGGAGTCAGTCAGGTAAACAAATGTAAGGCTAGTAGAAGTGCTCTAAAGAAAAAGCGGGATGATGAGCTAGATAATCATGGAAGGAGCTCTATTTCATGTAGAGCAATCAAGAAAGGTTTCTGTAACAAGAAATAGTGTCGTTACAGTCACTCAATGAAGTGAAGGAACTAGCTGGTGGCCTGTCTGGGGAAACTGTTCCAGGTTGATGCAAAATTACAAGTACGAATGTTCTGATGCAAGAGTGGGCCTGGTGAGTTTAAGTGGAACTAAGAGAAGAGTGTTAGGAAGTGGGGATCAAAAGGATGAGCTAGGTCAGATCAAATAACACAATGCAGTCCATCATAAAGTCATTGCATTTTAGTTGGAAATTTGTCAGAAGGTTTTCAGCAGAGAGACATGACCAAATTTATATCGTGAAACAATCACTGGTTGCTGTTGACACGGCAGACCTTAGGGAGGCAAAGGCAGAACAGTGAGAAGGCTATTGTAACCTTTCAAGTGACAGATGAAGGTGGCTTGGCCTACAGTGTTAACATAGGAGATGGTGAGAAGTGGTCTGATTCTAGATGTATTTCCAATGCTATTGCTGAGTGAATAAAGTCGGTCAAAAAATGAGTACACACTGTATGATTCCATTTGCATCACATTCCAGCAATTACAAATCAATCTATAGCAACAGAAGGTTGTTTGGAGATTGGCAGGAAATGGGAGGGAAGATTATAAAGGATCATGAAAACTCATCACTGATGGATACACTAATTATCTTGATTATAGTGATGGTCTCATGGAATATACATATGTCAAAACTTATCAAACAGTCCGCTGTAAATGTGTGCAGCTTATTGTATGACAATTACACTCCAATAAAGCTATTAAAATAAAGATTGTCTGACTGGGCTGGATTGGGTGGGGTAGAAAGAGTTGCCATGAATGGTTTGTAAGTTTTTGACCTGAGCATCTGGAACATGGAATTAAAATGGCATTTCTTGAGATACAGAAGACTAAAGGAGCGGTGTTTGAGAGAGGAAATAAGGAGTTTAGTTTTTAACAAAAGTTGAAGATGCCCATTAGACATACCTAAGATTCTAGAGCAAACAGAGTAGAAATGAACCTCTAAAGGCACTATCCTTGGATGGCCAATGACCTTATCCATTATATATTTTCTCCAGAGAATTACGGGAACTACACTGGACCAATGGGACATCTCATGGCCCCTATAGTCAAACAGCTGTGAATATCTATGTGAACCTCATATCATTTTCTTTATTCAACATTATGGATCACAGGGACAGGCCACATTCTTTCCTCTTTTATTTTTTTCAATTTATTTTAGAGAGAGCACACAAGCTGGGAAGAGGGGCAGAGGGAGGGTGGGAGGGCGAGAGAGAGAGAGAGAGAGAGAAAGAGAAAGAGAATCTTAAGCAGGCTCCATGCTCAGTGTGGAAACTGATGCAGGGCTCTATCCCATAACTCTGGGACCATGACCCTGGGATCATGACCGGAGCCAAAATCAAGAGCCAGATGCTCAACTGAATGAGCCATCCAGGCGTCCTTTTCCTTTTAAAGAATCCAATTAGTTTGGAAAACCAACTGATGGGTTTGGTGTTGAGGTGGATGAAAAACCTTAGCAGAGAGCACTGCAGTGAGAAGACCCCAGTTACAGACAGTGCCAAGTGCTCCAAGCAGAGGCAGAACATGGTAGCCATCGTGGGCTTATGGCTTTTTTTTTTTTTCACATATAGATTTTAAAAAGATTTTGCTTCCCTTAATCAGAAAGTACCAAAAATTGCACGTTGCTTGATGGAAGCTTTGCAGAGTTGTGATTAAAAGGATATTCCCTGGGTCTGAATCTCAGCTCCATTTCTCACTAGATGTGTAAATCCCCCCAATTTAGTCATCTCAAAAATGAGGATAGTAATAGCATCTTCCTTTTTCTTAATGTTTACTTATTTTTGAGAGCGAGAGACAGAGCATGAGCAGGGGAGGGGCAGAGAGAGAGGTAGACACAGATTCTGAAGCAGGCTCCAGGCTCTGAGCCGACAGCATAAAGCCAGATACAGGGCTCGAATTCACACACCGTGAGATCATGACCTAAGTCAAAGTTGGAGGCTCAACCGACTGAGCCACCCAGGCACCCCAGTAATAGCATCTTCTCTTGTGAGGTACTACTGTTGTGAAGATTAGACAAATTGATACCTTAGAATAACACCTGGGTGTAAAGAATCAATAAAAGTTAGGTGCAATTAATTAGCTTCCCCCCCCACCTGATACTCTCGCTATTTTGATGTCATTTGGTTTCCACTAAACTGTGGATTTGACAAGGGCCAGATGCCTTGTCTTTTGACCTAAAAGTTTCCCCACCCTACCCTATGTCTCGCAGGCATAAATGATAACATAAAATGGAAGTTCAACCCTTTTGTGTTGAATTACTTCTTCCCTGAGGGATAAAGGCCCAAGAATCTGACGACCTAGCACTGGTATGCGTAGCCTACCCCTATTCTCCAAGACTTTTCAAAAGAAGACCATGCCGGCCACTAGCTCTAACTTCCACCACCAACCCATCATTCCAGTACTCACGCCCCTTCACAATCTAAGGGGATTACGGATGGGACCCCCAACGGGGAGGTCCTCAATCCAAAGACTAACAGCGGCAGCTCGTGGGTGAGATTTGGTAGTTCGGATGGGGGCACCGAATCAAGATTTGGGGGGCGGTGGACCTGAAATTAGAAGCTGCCAGAAAGGACCCGTGTCGGGACGTTGGGGTGGGGGGTGGGGGTGCTCCAAGGTCGCAGAGACCGGTGAGCGAGGAACACGAAGGGAGCGGGCGAGGGCGCGGAGACGCAAGCACGGGCCGCCCGCGCGGCGAGCCGACGGCACCGGGTGGCGTGCTCGAGCCCCTCGCCGAGGCCGTGCTGACGTGTCGCCCCGGGAACGCCGCGGCCTCCGGCGCCGCCCCGCCCCGCCGCGCGCCGCCCTCGGCCCCGCCCGCCGGCGCCCGCCCCGCCCCCGCCCCCGCGCCGCCGGCTCCCCCGCGGTGACCACAACATGGCTGCGGCGCCGGGGCTGCTCTTCTGGCTGCTCCTGCTCGGGCTGCCGCGGCCGGTGCCGGGCCAGCCGCACGCGGGCACGAGCCGGCGCTTCTCGGAGCACAAGCTGTGCGCGGACGACGAGTGCAGCAGTGAGTGGCGGGAGGGCGGCGGCGGGGCCGCGCGGGGGCGGGAGCCGGGCACCCCTGCGAGCCGGCCGGGGGCGCAGGCCGGGCGGGCGCGGCGCCGGGGTGGGCGAGCGCCGGGGCGTGTGCGCCGTCCCCCTGGGCCCGCGGCGTCAGCCGGCCCCGGCTGGGGGGCTGCGCCTCCCACTTGTTGCCAGCGTTTCCTTTCCCTCTGCTGATGCGGCGGGGTCTTAGGGGTGACGGTGGCCCCCGGTTTCCCCGGGGGCGGCTCGCAGCGCTGGCTCCCCGCCCGGCCCCGAGGGGAGACGGGGCACATGGGGTGCGCGCCGCGCGCCCTGGGCTCCCCGCGCTGCAGCGAGCGCTCTCCTGCCCCCGCCGCGGGGAACTAACTGGGTGGGTGCAGTCGGGGCGCCCAAGCGCCCAGGCTCGGCGGGTCGGTGGTGGGGCTCGGGAAGTGCGCGCTGGCGCTGCCCCTTCCCCCAAACGCTTTCTCGGATTTGGGGCTCCTACTGCCTTTCTGACAGGGATCGGAGTTTGGGTTTGGGACGAGCCTGGAGTGCAAGCATGCATTGTGTTCCAAGGTCTCCGCCCCGGCTCTGCCTCAGTCCTGTCATTTCTGTGCTTGGAAGTCTCCTTGCAAACAGCCAGGCAGGGAGGGCACCTTAGGAAGGCCAGAATCTTTCGCTCTCGAAAGAGGCCGAGAATCTGCATTGGCCACCTGGGACCGGCAGCCTCCTCTTCTTTGCGCAGGAAGCGGAATTGTTCCCCAGTCCTAGATTGGGGGTGGGGGATGGACTGTGGACGGCGAGGAGGCCCGAGATGCCTCGTCCAGAATCCGATGAAGAGGATTATTAAAGTAATCATAGTGAATTCCCCAAAGGTTTCATAAACCCGACCGGCTTTAGCCTTAGTCACTTGTGTTGTTGGAATCTCTTCCTGTGTTTGTGGGACCAGAATCATTCCTACCGCCTCCCGGAGGGTCCTGAATAAGCTTGCAACTTAGTGATACCCGCCTTGGGGACCGGTTGTTCATAAATTGTAAACAACACCTAGAGAAAAAGTGTTCATGCCTTAGACGCCATGCGCCTGCACTTTAGCTATTTATATTCAAATTGGTGCTATTCAAAAGCAAATTTCATAATTGAAGGAGTTTGTATCCACTGCAACACCGTTCAAGAGAAGGAGGCATCTTTGCATCTTTTGATTTGTGTTTAGCCTGTTCCTAGAGGTAACCTAGAGCTGAAGCAACTAAACACCGCAAAAGCTGAGCGGCTTCCACAGTTTTGGCCCTCAGTTTCCTCTGAGCAAACCCAGATGATTGGCAAGCGGGGTTGGCTAAGACAGAACACTTGCTGTGCTTCGCTTTCAAGGACTCCCTGACTTGGGTTCCTCAAAACCATAACGTTACCTGGAGAATCACATCGCCGTTGCTTCCTCAACCCAGAGGCATGGTGTTGGAAGGGCCCTTCCTTGTCACATAAGTTGAGAAATGGCAGGTGTCCAAACAGATGTCACCAAACACAACGTGCAGCTGGCCCCTGAGCAGGGGCTGGGACTGTGTGTTGCATAAAGTGTTTGTTTAGCAAGGTGTGTGTGTGTGTGTGAGTGCTGTCCTTGGGTACTTTCCAGAAAGTTGCTTCACGGTGTGTATGACGTTGTCATCTAATTTATTGTTAAACATTCTCCATGATCTCTTCTAAGGGGGAACAAAGAGAAAACATTGCCATTTCCAGTTCTGATAGAATCCCCGATCTGACATTGCCCGTTACCTTCAACTTGGCCTTCCCCCCATTCTATCTGAATTAGGATGCTGTATATTAAAATAATCGGATTTTAGCGTCAAAAGCCAAATAACCACCTTCAGATCTACCTGCCCGTCCCCCAAATACATATTGAAAGATACATTTTAATGTGCTTACTGCTAATTGGCTTTAAGAAAAAATGTTCTTTCCATTCACCCTTCTTTTTCTCTGCTATTTAATTGCATCTATTGTCCGTTTCATCTTACATCAGAAACAGTGTATTTGGCCACCAAAAAGAAAAATTCTGCTTCTACCCATTTCTAGATCCAGTGTGATTTAAGTCCTGCATTTTAAGACCGAAGGTAACTACTTACTGAACAGTTCTCATAGTTTTGCTTGTCCCTGCAACCTGTGATGCCTACTTGTGATTTTTGTGTATAGACATAAATAAGTGAGGGTGTTTCCCTTTCGTTTTTGAAAGCTTTGTAATGTTGGGTACAGTCCACATTACCTCCCATCATAACAGTTTCACATTCCCGTCATGTGACTGGACCCGTAATAGGATGTGATATCCTTTCCCGTTAATTTATCCAGATACTGTATGGGAAGAGCTGCATGGCCTCAAGTGAAGTTGACAGTGTTTACTGCTGCTGCATGGTAGCAGTTACAGCCACTTACAGATCGTGCCTTTTAGTGTTAGTTCAAGATAATTGGCCCCTTGGGGGGCTCCTGGGGAGCCTCTCCCCCGTTCCTTATTACCTCTGCACGCAGTCACGCTTAAGCCAGCCAGCATCTGCACTTGAATTTATCCAGTTGTACAGCGAAGCTCTTTATGATTGTGAAACAGCAGCGATTGAGGGCAAGACGGTTAGAGAGTTTCCCCGAGACCAGCCATGTGTGGCGTGGACTCGCTGTGTTCTGTTTCCCAGTGTCGTCCTTAGAGGAAAACAGGGAAGGTGGCCCTCTCCCCTGTCCACTCGTAGGAGGTGATATGTAATGATAAAGCTCTAAAGATTTTAGGTACTTGGAGCATATGAATTGAAAGCGATTGATTCCAGAGAGCCCTGGAGACACTTGATTGTTATTTACAGAAGAAACCTTCCTTTCCTGATAAATCAATATGGACTCTGAAAGTTGAATCCTGACATCTGTTTTTTTTTTTTTTTTTCTCTCTCTCACTCTCTCTTTTTCCCCCTTGTCTTTACCTACAGTGTTAATGTACCGGGGTGAGGCTCTAGAAGATTTTACAGGCCCCGACTGTCGTTTCGTGAGTTTTAAAAAAGGTGACCCTGTATATGTCTACTATAAACTGGCAGGGAGATCGCCTGAAGTTTGGGCTGGAAGCGTAAGTATATATTTGACGTAACTTTCTTTTCTTACTTTTTTTTTATGTTCTATTTATTTCTGAGAGAGAGAGAGAGAGACAGCATGAACAGGGGAAGGTCAGAGAGAGAGGGAGACACAGAATCCGAAACAGGCTCCAGGCTTTGAGCTAGCTGTCAGCACAGAGCCCGACACGGGACTCGAACCCACAAACCGTGAGATCATGACCTGAGCCGAAGTCAGACGCTTAACCGATTGAGCCACCCAGGCGCCCTATTTTCTTACTTTTTGTTGGCTTGTGTCGTGCTACTGTTTTTTTGGGGTCTTTGATGGAGCTCACATGTCCCCTCTGCCGGAATGGGAAAACAGAATGGCTGTGACTGGCCAGCAGGCATTAGGCCTGGCCCCCGGCTGGGGCTCTGCTTCTTAAACAGAACCGAACTGCTTCTGGTTATTGCTGCTCAGCATGAGCTGTGGGCCGCATCAGCTGTGGCTGCTCAGTGCGCAGGAAAGGTTTAAGTGGTGAAACCTGAAAATTCTGAACTTCATTGCTGGGAGCATTAGCCCTAATCCTGTAAACTTTGAGCAGGACTGTGTTTAAGGTGTTCATGTTTAAAGTTATTTTTTCTAAGTTATTATTTTTTAATTTTTTTAATGTTTATTCATTTTTGAGAGAGAGACAGAGAGACAGAATTGGGGGGAGGGCAGAGAGAGAGAGGGAGACACAGAATCCGGAGCAGGCTCCAGGCTTTGAGCTGTCGCACAGAACCCGACCTGGGGCTTGAACCCATGAGCTGTGAGATCATGACCTGAGCCGAAGTCAGACGTTTAACCGACTGAGCCACCCAGGTGCCCCTCTAGTTTTCTAAATCATTAACATTTTTGAAAGATTGGCAGCTCTGGGAACAGGCAACCTAGTCATGTGTTATTGTTGCTGGTCTGTTAAAAAAGCAAAATGCCCTTTTCGCTGTATGTTTTCTTGTTTCCTTGTTTTGTTTGCCTCTCCTGGGTCAGCCTTTTCCTGCTCATCAGACACTTGCTTCTGGAGGTCTCCGAGCTGCTGTCTTCCTGGGCAGTTTTACAGGTGTCCTGATGGTACATGGAAATCGTGCTTTAGAATTTTTAAAGAAAAATTTTTAGTTCAAGTATAATTAACATACCGTGATATATTAGTGTCAGGTGTACAATATAGCAGCTCTGCAATCCGTGCTCATCATGATAATTGTACTCTTTAATCCCCATCCCTGATATCCCCTGTCGCCCACCCATCCACCGCCCCTCTGGCACCCAGCTGTTTGTTCTCTGTGCTTAAGTGTCTGGTGTTTTTTGTTTGTTTGCCTTGTTTCTTCCTTTGTTTTGTTTCTTAAATTCCACCTATGAGTGAAATCATATGGCATTTATCTTTTTCTGACGGACTGACTTCACTTAAGATTATATGCCCTCTAGGTTCATCCGTCTTGTTGCAGATGGCTAGATTTCATTCTTTTCTATGTCTGAGTAATAGTCCAGTGTGTGTGCATGCGTGTGTGCATGCGCATGCGCCACATCTCTATCTGTTCATCTCTTGATGGACACTTGGCTTGCTTCCGTGTTTTGGCTGTTGTAAATACTCAGGCTTTGATTTTTTTTTTTTTTAATTTTTAATGTGTTTTATTTATTTCTAGAAGAGAGAGAGCGCGAGCGTGAGCAGGGGAGGGTCAGAGAGAGAGGGAGTCACAGACTGAAACAGGCTCCAGGCTCTGAGCTGACAGCACAGAGCCCGACGCGGGGCTTGAAGCCACAAACCGCGAGATCACGACCTAAGCGAAAGTCGGACGCTCAACCGACTAAGCCACCCAGGCACCCCGATGTTTTTATTTTATTTGTTTTTTTATTGTTAACATTTATTAATTTTTGAGAGACAGAGAGAGATAGCATAAGCAGGGGAGGGGCAGAGAGAGAAGATACAGAATGTGAAGTAGGCTCCAGGCTCTGAGCTGTTCGTTAGAACAGAGCCCAGTGCAGGACTCGAACTCACGAACTGCGAGACCATGACCTAAGCTGAAGTCAGGTGCTCAACCCACTGAGGCACCCAGGTGTGCCAGGCTTTGATGTTTTTAATGAGGAGATTCCCTAGAAGTGACCTGATTGAAAGCTTTTGAATTATTGTCCTTTCCTTTCTAAAAAGTGTGATGTGTGGACTGTTTCTTTACTGAAAGGAGTAAGAATTCTTCATGGCCTGAGGAGTGACCAAACTTCCAGGAATACCCAGTCCCTGCTGTGGAAACTTTCACTCTCCATAAAATACCAGACAACAGAAAATAAGGCTTGAGAAACCTACACAGAGAAAAATAAGTTCATTTTGTTGGCATTTCAGATTCCTAGGCGAGGATCTTTTTTTAAATTTTTTTATTTTTTAATGTTTATTTTTTGAGAGAGAGAAGAGGGGGTGAGAGACAGAGACAGAGTGTGAGTGGGGGAAGGGCAGAGAGAGAGAGGGAGACACCAAATCTGAGGCAGGCTTCAGGCTCCAAATTCCAAACTGTCAGCACAGGGCTTGACATGGGGTTTGAACTCATGGACTGCGAGATCACGAACTGAACCAAAGTCAGATGCTTAACTGACTGAGCCCCCCTGGGGGGGGAATCTTGAAAGACTGACTAACTGGTTATGTTCAGCACTTATAATTGAGGCAGAATCCTGGTTGAGTCACTATGTACAAAGAAGGATCAGTTCTGTTTCCTACCAGTCTGCCACATGAGATTTCTTGATAAGCTTCACTCTTGGGAAGTTTTCCGTGTACCTAGGCTGCCTGTTTTATACACAGTGAGGTGGTTAAGTTGGAGCATTTCGGTAAGTGAACTTGACTTGCATTTTCCTCTGGCCATACTCACCTCTCATGCTGCCTTCTTAAGGAAGCATTGTCCTCCGCAGCCCGGCCAGAAGGGGTCTTGCTGTCTGATAATTGTTCCAGTGTTGCTTTGTTTGCACTACTCACCTGGCACCCCCTATACTGCTTTTTTTTTTAATGTTTATTTTGAGAGAGAAAGAGCACACACTGGAGCATGAGTGGGAGAGGAGCAGAGAGAGAGAGGGAGAGACAGAGAGGATTGCAAGCAGACTCTGCACTGTCCGCACAGAGCCCGAAGTGGGACTTGAAGTCACAAACTGTGAGATCATGACCTAAGCCAAAATCAAGAGTCTTGCCTGACTGAGCAACCCAGGTGCCCGTCCCCCACCCCTTCCTTGTACTGCTTTATATTGCAGTTGGTTTGGGTACCATCTTTGCTCATGTAAAGTCAAAAGCCCCATAAGGAAGGGCCCACATCTTCCCCATCTTCCTTTCGAATATTTCCTTTTAGGGTAGTGGCACTTATTTACGTTTGTCATGATAATAACTTTCGCAGAATTTGTTCTCTTGAACAAGTATTCTTCTCCCCCCACCACCCTGCAATCAAATCAACAGTTCCTTGGCCAGGATGATACATGTAAGCAACGTTAGCTATAAAAATTACTTCCAGAGGCACCTGGGTAGCTTAGTCGGTTGAGCGTCTGACTCTTGATTTTGGCTCAGGTCATGATCCTGTGCGATCGAGCCTCGAGTTGGGCTCCACGCTGAGCATGGAGCCTACTTACGATTCTCTCTCCTTCTGCCCCTCTCCCCCTGCTTGAGCACACGCAATCTCTGTCTTTCAAAATAAAATAAATAAGGGGCACCTGGGTGGCTCAGTTGGTTAAGCGTCCGACTTCGAATCAGGTCATGATCTCACAGTCATGAGTTCAAGCCCCACGTTGGGCTCTGTGCTGACAGCTCAGAGCCTGGAGCCTGCTTCAGATTCTGTGTCTCCCTCTCTCTGTCCCTCCCCCACTCATGCTCTGTCTCTCAAAAATAAACCTTAAAAAAAGTTTTTAAAAAATAAAATAAATGATTACAATAAAGAATACTTCCAGTCCTGAGGGCCCATGGTTCTGCAACCCTAAGGCACACAATATTGCCCAGTGTAAAAATATGGAGGGTTTTGTTTTGTTTTTAGATTTTATTTTTTTAAGTAATCTGTATACCCAGTATGGGGCTTGAACCCACAATCTGGAGATCAGGAGTCACATGCTTTACTGACTGAGCCAGCCAGATACCCCAAAATATGGAGTTTTATATGACCTATGGTCTCAGTGGACAGAGACTGCACAAAGATAAATGTGTTTCCTTTTTCCATATATTTCTGATTTCTCTCCCTTTTCCAGATTTTCTCTTAATCGAATTTTCCTGAAAAGAGAAAATGTGTATTTCCTCTCAGCCTCCCCTCTTATTTCATGAAACTTATACTTTAGAAAATTAAAAACTCTCTCGAGACCCTTAGCTTTCAAAAACTTTTTAAAATTTATTTATTTATTTTGAGAGACCACGAGCGGAGGAGGAGCAAAGAGAGAAGGAGGGAGAGAATCCCAAGCAGACTCTGCACTGTCCGTGTGGAGCCCAGTGTGGGGCTCAGTCTCATGAACTATGAGATCATGAGCTGAGCTGAAACCAAGAGTTGGGCGCTCAACAGACTGAGCCACCCAGGTGCCTCTCAAAATGATTCTTGCTTCTGTTTCTTAGTTTTCTGCAGTCTTTCTTGCTTTCTTTTTTTGTTCGTTTGTTTGTTTTTGGATTTTAACTGCCAGTGTGGCAGTTTTTAATTGCCCTATTTTATTTAATCTTCAAGGCTGTATTCTAGTACTAAGACTGGCTTTTACATATTTGCCAGATGTAACGACAGCACTCCTAATGAGGATATTTCAGGAGTCGGTGATAAGATAGCCTTTTTTTCCCCTTGGTGGATTGGATCTGCCTTTCCCACTCCTTCCCAGAGATCTGCTTTCCCTTCTAGATGCAGCCAGTAGAGGAAGTGTATGCCTCTCGGGAGAATGCTTGGTGTATTTTAGCTGTTAGTGCTGTAGATAAATAGGATAATTTTCTCTAGAGGTTTACTTAGTGTGAAACTAAAGCTTGATGTGTAGATTGGTATGAATTTTATTTTCTCCCCTAATACTTGAAAATCTAGTTTTTGAAAAAGCTGCTATAGCCCATTATATCAATAAATATTTGCTTTTTTATTGTAGTCATTGCTCATCTTAGGAATTTTATATTCTTTTTTTTTTAAGTTTATTTATTTATTTAAGTAATCTCTACACCCAACATGGGGCTTGAACTCAGAACCTTGAGATCAAGAGGCACACATTCTTCTTTTAGTTTTTTTAATGTCTTTTTTTTTTTTTAATTTCAAAGAGAGAGAGAGAGACAGCGTGAGCAGGGGAGGGTCAGAGAGAGAGGGAGACACAGAATCAGAAGTAGGCTCCAGGCTCTGAGCTAGCTGTCAGCACAGAGCCCAATGTGGGGCTCAAACCCACTAACTGCAAGATCACGACCTGGGCCAAAGTCGGATGCTTAACCAACTTAGCCACCCAGGTGCCCCATGATGAGGCACACGCTCTTCTGACTGAGCCGACCAGGTGCACCTGATTTGCTTAGTTTTAGTCATAAAATATACAAACACTTTCTCTGTGCTCTGTGTTTAGAATTAAGTTGCATGATGAAAGGAAACTTCAGTGGTTTTAGAAAAATTGGCTTTATAATATTCTGTACTTGGGGCGCCTGGGTGGCTCAGTCAGTTGAACATCCGACTTCGGCTCAGGTCATGCTCTCACGGTTTGTGGGTTCAAGCGCCGCGTTGGGCTCTGTGCTGACAGCTAGCTTGGAGCCTGGAGCCTGCTTCGGATTCTGTGTCTCCTTCTCTCCCTGACCCTACCCTGCTCAAGCTGTCTCTCTCTCTCTCTCTCTCTCTCTCTCTCTCTCAGAAATAAATGAAACATTAAAAAGAAAAAATTTAAAAAAATATTCTGTACTTAATTTTCATTGGAATAATAATCCGTGTAATCATAATAGCAATTATCTGTCTCTTGTGGTTATACCTACCTACGTATCTATCTGTGTGTTTCCTCTCACTGCTGAAAAGTCTGTCCTTTGTATTTCTTATACAGAATTTTGATTGGTATTTGTTTCTTTTGCCCATTTTTTTCATGTAGGTTGGACGTATTTTTGGATATTTTCCAAAGGATTTAATCCAAGTAGTCCATAAATATACTAAAGAGGAGCTACGAGTTCCAACAGATGTAAGTTATGTTATGGATTGTTATTTTCTATTTTTTATTTTTTGCTTCTCAATTATAAATTGCTTTTCACATTCAATTATAGTTAATGATTTTTGAAAGTCCTTATATTTTGGCCAGAAAAAAAAAAACCAAGCTAACATTTGTGTGTCAGGTTTTAATTTAGAATCAGGTAACTCTTAAAAATAGAAAGAAAAGAAATGTTTGAAAAGAGTTTATAGGAGACAGTGTCATTATTTGGCAGTTGTCTAATATGTACAATCATATAGGGTTTCTTTTTGCTGCTTTATATGATAAAAAATTAAGAATTCAGTATCTTTGTGCATAGTTATTAAGTTTAAGAGCTATAACTTTCTATAGGCACAAGGAGGGAAAGAACTCCACTAGAAAACTTTACTCACTGAATAGCTCTTAGACGTTTTAAGTATCGAGAAATCAGATTAAATGCTAAACTGCGTACTAGATCAGAAATGCCAATTTACAATAATTTTCTTTTTTAAAGTTTATTTTGAGAGAGATTATGTGTGCGTGCAAGCGAGGGAGGGGCAGAGAGAGAGAGGGAGAGACGGAATCCCAAGGAGGCTCCACGCTCTCAGCGCAGAGCCCAACGTGAGGCTCAAACCCACTAACGATGGGGTCATGTCCTGAGGCAAAATCAAGAGTCAGATGGTTAACTGCTCCTACAATGGTTTTCTTATTACTGATTCTTTAGGGATTTAAGGGATTGCAGTCACATTACAGGTTTGGGAAAGGGAACCTCAGAGACGTGGAAGAGATCTAGTCTCAGATCTGCCTGATGCTGAGTGCACATCCTATAAAGCACTGACCTGGGCACACGACATAGCTCTGTGATGACGAGGACTCTGTGTTCTGGGGTTCTTAGTTCTGCTGATCATTTTCTGGACTTTTTTTTTTTTTTTAATGTTTATTCAGTTTGAGAGAAAAGGAGAAGAGAGCGGGGCGAAGGGGTAGAGATGGGGAAAGAGAGGATGCCAAGCAGGCTCTGTGCTATCAGTGCAGAGCCGGATGCCGGCTTGAACCCACAAATGGTGAGCTCATGACCTGAGCTGAAACCAAGAGTTGGACGCTTAACCGACTGAGCCAAGCGGGCACCCCTGTTTTCTGGAGTTTTAAAATGGGTAGTAATTGATGCCCGCCATCATTCAAAAATCCTTGAGCTGTTTTTTAATAGTGCTGCAGATATGCAGGCTGCTGGCCTCAGGCCATCGTTAGGTAAGATAGGCAGACTATAAGAAGTCTCAGAGCCAGTGCTGTACTTACCATTTCTTTATAATCTCGAGGGTCGTAAAATCAGCCCCATTACCTGTCTGGCCTCATTCCTAATGAAGAGACTCCCCAGGTTATAGGTGTGAGACAACAGTTTATTGGTCACAGTGACCTCACTTGTTTGGGCGTCTGCATTCCTAGTGTACCTCCCCCAGCATGCTTCCATCAGAATTAAGAAAGTGGCTTGGAAACGCATGTGAAGAAAAGAAGAAATTCATCCCTACTGCACTGGTCAGGGCTCCTCAGACTTTGGTGAAAGTTTAGTTAGGAGAAGAGAATTACCTTTGTTGGCTTTTAAACTTATCCTTCGTTCAAGGCCCCATTTATGTCAAGTTGTTTATTATTGTAGGAAAGGAAGAGTGTAGACTTACAGATAGTCCTGAAAGTGAGTCTTAATGACACCTACAACCCTGATTTAGAATATATTCCTTATTGAATCTTCTTTTCAAGTTGTACTTGAGGTAATAATTAAATGGGGAGCCCCCTTGACACACTTATTTGTGCCTCTAAATTTTTACTGCCCATGCATGTGTATTTTAATAAGGCTTAATAAGGCTTTAGTAAGGCTTCCTAGGCTGATTTATCTTTCCTAGCCCCAAGAGAATATGAGCCAGAAAATATCTGTGTAGACTTGGAGGCTGACAGCAAGGTGATTCTGGCTGACTCTGGCTGGTTAAACAGAAGTATAGTCTGGAGGGCAGAGTGGTGGGGAAGCTGGGTGGTCTTCCAGCGTCTCCTGCACATACTAGTATGACATGAATTCCCAGGACACAGTTCTTGGCTGCTGGGGGACCCAATAAATGACACCCTGTTTTTCTCCACTTGTGCTCAGTACAAATTGAGGGACCCAGGGGTCAGGAATGTGGAGACCAAATTGTCACTATTATTTATTGATAAAGCTTTTCGGTGAATAAGGCTCGGATGTGCAGAAATCATAGGCCTTCTAACTTTGTAGTGTAGAATAAGACAGACCCAGCCACAGACAGGGCTATGTAACGGGGTGGCCTCCCCAAGGGGACTATCACTATGAAACTGACAGCATGGAGCAGAGAGGATATGTGTCCCCTCTAGCAGGTCCCAAACGGAACCCAGGGGTGGTGCAGAGCAAACTCCCAGCCGTGTGAATCCTGGGGAGGAGACAGTGAAGGGAAATCAGGTAGGAGTCCTTCCCCATGGAAGCAGGAAACCAGGGAAAAGTGGATTCCAGCTTCTATACCACCACCCCCGCCCCCCACTACCCAAGAACGGTCATTGCCCGAGGTTGGCACCGAAGCCCCTCTAGATCTAGTTTGAGGTTAGCCTTCATTAGCATGGATAAGAGTTTGCTCCTGCAATACTTAGTGACGTGCTAATGTTTTTCTTTCTCTTACAGGAGACAGATTTTGTTTGTTTTGATGGGGGAAGAGATGATTTTGATAATTACAACATAGAAGAGCTTTTAGGATTTTCAGAATTGTACAACTCTGCAACTGGAAATTCCGAGAAAGCTATAGAAAAAACTCAGCATGAGGACACACCTCCTGAAGTAGTTGACGAAAGCGATCTTGAACCTGAACTTGAACCTGAACCAGAACTTAACTCAGAGGAGAGTGAAAGCGTGTTTTCAGAAAACTCTAAGGAACTCAGGGAAAGATCTAGGGCTCAGAAGAACCACCCTCACATAAACAATCAAGCAGGTCATGCTCAGGGAGACCAACCTGCATTTGAACCTTTTGAGGAAATGCTACAAGATAAACTAAAGGTACCAGAAAGTGAAAGCAACAAAACCAGTAATGGATCTCAGCTCTCCAGTGAACAGGAGATCGATGCTTATAAACTTCTGAAAAAAGAAATGACTCTGGACTTAAAAACCAAGTTTGGCTCAACTGCTGATGCCCTTGTGTCCGATGATGAGACCACCAGGCTTGTTACTTCGTTAGAAGATGATTTTGATGAGGAGTTGGATATGGAATATTACACAGTTGGCAAGGAAGACGAGGAAGATGAAGAAAACTTCGATGAGCTGCCGTTACTGACCTTCACACATGCTGGGGAAGGTGTGAAGACGCCAGTGAAGTCTGGAGTTCAGGAATATCCTACAGATACAGAGCAGAATTCAAATGAAAAGGATAAGGTTGAGGTGACTCAGCCCCCCGGCATCAAAAACTATGATCAAAACATACTAACAACCTGGGAAGATAGTATCTTCTCCTTCACAGAAGGTGACAGACAAACGCGTGTGGATGTAAGGAGTTCTGATTCAGAGGAAGGAAAGGAAGGTGGTGATGCATTCATCCCAGAAAGCACATGGGGGAAACCACAATCAGCAGCAGATTCCACCGACCCTAAAAAGGCAGAAGATGGGCTTTTGATTGTAGAGGCCCCTGAAACAAACAGTGACAGAGACCCGGAAGTTCACTTTGCAGGCAATGGGAGGAACGTTGAGGAATCCAAGAAGGGCCTGGAGCAGGCTGAGATGGGGCTGGAGGGGAGGCAGGAAGGCACGAAGGCACACGGTGCTACTCAAAGCAGTGACCCTGGCTCTCTGCCAGCTGCCGGAAAGGGGAAAGAAATGTCGGAATCGGCTTTTGATAACAAAGAAAATGACCCAGAAGGAGCAGCTGTTCATATTTCAAAAGGAATGCTCCACGAAGAAAAGCCTGCAGAGTGGGTTTCGGAAGGTGGCTCGGAGCGTGAGGCAGTACCTCCAGCTGCAGCGAGTCAGGCGACGGGAGGAGAGATTGAGCAGGGATCCGTCGGCGTCGCGCCGCCGTTGGGAGGCCATCAGCATAACGCGTCCGTAGACGGTGTGGGAGAAGTACACGTGGTAGTAAGTGGACCAGAGCCACACACGCTTTCAGCGGAGCCTCCACGCACCGAATCTAAAGAAGAACGGCATCTTAAGATGGACGGTCAACCTAGGCGCTCCCCTCCGGATGAAGTTGCTTTGCCAGGAGCACCGGAAGAAGAGGGTCCCGTTGCGGGAAGAAATCTTTCCTGGCCACAGAGAGAAGAGGTAGCCCCTGCCCGCGATGGGCAGATGGATGGGAGGGTAGAGCGCCCCGCGGACGCGGTCCAGGAGGGCTCCTCAGGCGCACAGCTGGCTCCTCACAAGCCCGCGGAGGGCGCACAGGAAGTGGGGACAGGAGGCCAGGTGGATAGCCCAGAAGTGCCCGGTTTCCATCCCGAGAAGACACCAGAAGCAGAAGACGATTACAGCCCTGAAGAACTACTGGAGGATGAAAATGCTCTAAGTGCAGAACAGGCTAAAAGAGCTGAGGTTCAGGGCGGGCGGTTGGATGTTAACTCGCAGGCCCCCGCAGGGGCTGTGTTAGGCACCGCGAAGACTGAGGCAGAAGCAGAAGGGAACAAAGAAGAAACTAGTAACATCTTGGAAATGGAAAGAAGAAGTGACACTCTGGGCAAAGGGGTAGACGCAGGGGCCAGGGACGTGGGTAGTGGGGCGGTAGAGAAAGAAAGCCCTCTCGTGGGTGACGAAGCCCAGAGATCACCTGAAATCAGTGACTCTCCTGACCAAAAAAATGAGACTCCAAAGTTAGGGGAAGTGTTTGAGAATCAAGACTCTGATTACTTTCAAGAAGGAGGCCCCGAGGAACACCTGCAGACCTCCGGGCGCCCCGGGAAGCCCACGGTGGAGGGACCGGCACGAGCGGACCGGGAGGACTTGCAGGGAGCGGCGGACACGGAGGCCCGGGGCTCTGCCCCTGAGGGGCACGAAGGGGACCTGCCGCTCGGGACTGTGCACAGGGCCGCGCCGCCGGCGCACGGGGACGGAGGGAAGGACTTGCCTATCATCGGCAGCTTCTTTAAAGACCAGCAGTCTCTGCAGCGCTTCCAGAAATACTTCGATGTCCAAGAGCTGGAAGCCATGTTCCATGAAATGTCATTAAAGCTGAGGTCCGCGCAGCGGGAGAGCCTGCCCTACAACGTGGACAAGGTCCTGGACAAGGTCTTCCGCGCATCTGAGTCCCAGATTCTGAGCACAGCAGAGAAGATTCTGAATGCCCGCGTGGCAGAAAACAGAGAGCTGGGCTCCAAGGAAAATAACGTATTTGAAGAGGCGGCGGTCTTGGACGACATTCAAGATCTGATCTATTTTGTCAGGTACAAACACTCCACCGTAGAGGAGACGGCGCCGCCGGCGACGGCGCAGCCCGCGGAGGAAGGCTGGGCTGGCCTGGAGGAAGGTAAAATGCCTGCCCGTGGCCTTGGGGAGTTGGGCTTCAGAAGCAGGTGGGGCACAGAGTGGTTGTGGAAGTGCCTCCTGTCTTACTGGTAAAGCTCTGTCCACAGTTTGCAGTGTGCCTGAAGGTAAGGGACAGCACTGTGACCTCCACATGTCCCCTGCTGCCTTTTTCTTTTAGGCTGGAGCATGGGTTAGAATTCCTTACCCTTAGGACAGTTGAGACTGCTAGGATTTTTTCTCTCTGTCTCTTTTTTCTTTAATTAAAAAAATTTTAAAGTTTATTTTGAGAGACAGAGCAAGCGGGGGAGGGGCAGAGAGAGAGGAGAGAGAGAAAGAGAGAGAATGAATTCCCAAGCAGGCTCTGCGCTCTCTGTGTGGAGGCTGATGTGGGCCTTGAACTTACAAACTGAGTTCATTACCTGAAACAGAATCAGGAATTGGGTGCTTAACCGACTGAGAGCCCCCAGGGTCCCCAAGACCTCTAGCATTTTCAAAAGGAACCTTGACAAGCAGCTAAAGGGAAAGCTATAAACAGGCAAACGATGCTCCACGTAAGCCTATTAACAGACTAGAAGTTTCATGTAAAATTACGAAAGGAATTTTTTTTTAATTTGAATAAATTCTTTTTTTTTTTTTTTAAAGTAAACTCTGTGCCCATTGTGGGGCTTGAACTCACAGCACTGAGATCAGGAGTTGCATATTCTACCTACTGAGCCAGCCAGGCACTCCAAGTAAATTCCCTTTTTTTTTTTTTTTTTTTAAAGATACTTAACTTTTGAGAGAGAAAGCGCGCAAGCAAGCGGGAAAGGGGCAGAGAGAGGGGGAGACAGAGGACCTGAAGCGGGCTCTGTGCTGATAGCAGAAAGCCTGATGCAGGGCTCAAATTTACAAACCCATGAGATCATACCCTGATCCAAAGTCCGATGCTTAACAGATAGAGCCATCCAGTTGCCACCTTTTTAAAATTGAGGTGTAGTTGAAACACAATATTATATTAGTTTCAGGTGTGCAACATAGTGACCGGACAGGTCTGTGCATTCTGCTGTGCTCACTGCAAGTGTAGCCACCATCTGTCACCATACAGGTGACATATGGCCATACAGAACTATTCCCTATGCTGTATCTTTCATTCCTGTAACTTACTCATTCCACAACTGGAAGCCTGTAAAAGCTTAAGCACAAAGTAACTGCTCTCTGACCAAGGATTAGACCAAGACGTAACATTTCAGTCGATGTCTTGCCTGAGTTTCTTCACCCACACCCCCCTCATTTTTCATCTTTTGTGGGTGTCATGTTCTTTCTTGTCTCTTTGGAGCAGTCACTTCAGTTAGTCAAATTCTACTGGGCTCTTGGATTCTTGCATTCAGATGAATTAATCAAGGACATGACCCAGATGCAGCGCTCTCTAACATAGCACTTGACATGTGGAAGCCTTTCAGTAAATATTGATTGAATGGACTCTAAGCCAGTCTCCTGACATGGCCTGATTTCTAGTTCCTCACTCTGTTCCCTGTCCCCATGCTTTTCAGCCTGAGGTATTTAAACTGCGGCATGTGGTAGAGTACCAGGGGAACATGAAGCCACAGAATAAATGCTGTCTTCCAGAGGGCCGTTTTTTCTCCAGAATTTGCGGAGGGGAAGATTTTTGCATGTAATCAAATCAGATCTACTTTGCATTAGAATACAAAACTCCAGGGGCGCCTGGGTGGCTTAGTCGGTTAAGCCTCCGACTTTCGCTTAGGGCTTAGGTCATGATCTCGCGGTTCATGGGTTCGAGCCCCGCGTCGGGCTCTGCTGACTGCCAGCTCAGAGCCTAGAGCCAATTTCAGAGTCTGTATCTCCCTCTCTCTCTGACCCTCCCCTGCTCACACTGTCTCTCTCTCCTAGAAATAAATAAAAAATATTAAAAAAAACAAACAAACAATAGCTGTTTAAAAAAAAAAAGAATACAAAACTCTAATGATTTTTTTAGGGTAAACTATGAGGCTTTAAAGAAATTTATCTTTCCTGTGGGTCACATGGAGCTGTGCCCTAAACCTCTTGGGGAAGGAAATGGGTTCTCACTCTCTTTGACAATTAGAGGTACTCTGAAAATACTTGAAAGCTATTTTAGTAGGCTGCCTTTGTATCTGAGGCTAGCTCTGTGAAACAGACATGCTTGTGTATGAAAGAGTTTGTGTTCTTACTGTGTGGAGTAGATATTTCCTATTTCTGCCCTTGACTGGAAATCTCTTCTGCCCATTCACCTGGGTGGGCATGTGTTGGGTTTGTGAAGGGGAGAGTTAGGGTTACTGAACTCCTTACAATGAATAGGTTTGCTTATAAAATACTTCGGAATAAAGGTTTCTTTGAAAATTTTAGTCATCTGTGAAGTGAGACAAAAGCAATTGAAGCTTTTCTTTCCCCACTCAGTCGTGCTTCCTGGGGTCTCAGCGTGTGGAGGGCAGTGGTGAGGTGCCAGGGGGTGGCCAGGGAGGGAGAACTGCCCAACGGAAAGGCTGAGTGGGGAGTATGGTCAAGGCTTTGCCAGCCCAATGCATTCTTCTTCCTTGTAGGGATAGAACCACCCCTTGGAGATAGTTTCCCACAAGATCACGCAGAAGACCTTAAAGGACAGATTCCCAAAGAGCCCAGCCAGTTGGATCAACCTGGTACTGGTGACAAGCATGGCTCAGACGTGTCACAGAAGCTGAATACCGAGAAGGACATAGATCCAGGTAAAACTTGCAGACTTTTCTCTACAAAGTAGAGGCATGTCATAAACAAGAGCTTCTAGGACATTTTTTTTTTTTAAATTATTTGTTTAAGTAATCTGCACCCATTGTGGGGCTTGAACTCATGACCCCGAGTTGCATGCTCTACCAACTGAGCCAGCCAAGTGCCCCTGAACATTTGTTCCTAAAGGTGGGAAATCGAAGGGAGAATAATACAGGCATGAATGAGTTTTAAAAAACAAGAAACCCTGGAACAGAAAGAAAGGCAGTTGAGGCAGATGGAGATCAGCAGTAGGAAAAAGGCCAGAGAGTATAACCAACCAAACATCAGTATTGGGCTCTCATTACTTATGTAAATAATTTTAATCTAAACTATTATTCTTAAAAGGCCTCATGTTTTCTCAGACAGTAGTTTCCAACCAGACCAGCTGGCATCACAAACTCTGGGGATGAAGACCAGCAAGCCCTCCAGGAAATTTTGATCACATGAAAGTTTGAGAACCACTGCTTTATTTATTTTTTTAAGTTTATTTATTTTGAGAGAGAGCACAAGCAGGGGAGGAGCAGAGGGGGGTGGGAGGGGGACAGAAGTTCTGAAGCAGATTCCATGCTGTCAGCAGAGAGCCTGTTGTGGGGCTCGAACTCCCGAACTATGAGATCATGACCTGAGCCGAAGTTGGATGCTTAACCGACTGAGCCTCCCAGGTGCTCCAAGAACCACTGCTTTAAAACTCAGAGATTCTATGTTTTCTCCCTGCTCTCCCACCCCCTGTAGAATACAGTGTGGCTCAGTTCTTTTGTCAATTTGCCACCTAGACGTGTCAAAAACCTTTTCAGAAACAGAGAAGGGGATATTTACGCTTAGGTATCCTCACGCTGTAGGGACCAGTACAGCACTGTGTACGCGGGTGGTGGTCCAGTGTGGCTGGACGCCGGCGAATGGCATTCATCACAGAGCGCAGCAAACACTCAGCGGAAAGCAGCTCGTCTCATTTGAATTGAGGAACTTGTGTAAAAACAGGAATACAGCCCCAGTAATGGTATCCGCAGGTTTCTACTGAAGAAGAGCTAATTGTGTTATTTTGTGGGTCCACTGTGGGGGGTGATGTGTGATACCATCACTGGTTTTATGTTCTTCCATGCTGTGGTCTATAAGCCTGGCTACAGTGTTACCCATGAGACCTGTTAGCACTGGGTGGACACGCCCCCCCCCCCCCCCCCCCCCCCCCCCCCCCCCATCTTCAGGAGAAGCCACGGCGTGGGCAGGAATTCTGTGATTTCAGGAGAAATGACCTACCAGAGGTCTCCCTCGTTCCAAGGACATTGCATTCGTGCGTCATCCTCTCTAGTTCTAAACTCTTTCATCTCAGAGAGTTAAGAGAGTTTTTCAGCTTGTTGAAAATGAGTCCTATGCCACGATGTCTTGTTAACTCTCTTGGCTAGAAACGTTCAAGGCTAGGAAAAACTCTGCTTGCAGAATTAGAAACAGATTTTTTGCCCAGTCCTTCCAGGTTCTGGTCACAAAATGACATCAGCTACCCTTACAGGCTCGTCTTCCCCCAAGTGTCCCTTCATGCCTCTCAGACACTGAGATGCCGCGCTGACTGTGGACACTTCCCCAGAGGTCATTCTTAAATCTGTAGTGAGTGGAATCTCTGGGTTGGGAGAGAGTCCCCTCCTCCGGCCTCTCTGACTGCTTGCTGCACTCCCAGCTGTTTACATGCCCCAGCCTCAAGTAATTCAAACTGAGATCGCCTCCCTCCTTTCTCCTCTAGTGAAACCCTTTCAGGCTTAGCTGGAGTCCTCCCTCTCATGCAGAGCTCCAGGCAGGCCCCCGCTCAGTAAGCAGTTCCTGTTAGTGTCTCGGGGCGCTTAGCAAAGTCTCTTTTGTGTAGCTGTCATTCATCTGTTGAGGAAGCAGTCGCCGAGGTCTGGCATTGCGCTGAGCATTGGTGCATCCCACCCACAGGTCTTCACGCTGACGATTTTCCACGTAGCCTTTGCCTGAAGTTTCTAACACAGTGCTTCACCAGCACTAAATGAACGTTTGGTAAATGCATCTGGTCTGTGTGGGGGAAAAAACCCCATAAAATTCTGCTTTTCTTAATTCCCATGACTAAATACTGTTCAGGTAGCAGTTGCTTGGCCAGGGACATGATGGGGGATCTGGTGAGGGGTAGGGTGTGCTGGAGATGTGTTCATTTCATAATGGAAGGGTATGGTGGCTCGAATGGACATTCTGAATTTTGCTCTGTCTAGAATTCTTTAGGAGCATAACTATATAAGTTATATAAGTCTTTATATAAGACATATAGAAGAGGTGTCTTTTTTTTTTTAGTATATATTTTTTTATTTTATCTCCAGTAATCTATGCGCCCAACATGGGGTTCAAACTCATCACCCTGAGATGAAGAGCCATGTGCTCTACTGACTGAACTGGCCAGGCACCCCTAACCTGTATAAGCCTTTAACAGAAGCCACTGACCAATACTTGGTGGGCACCTGATAAATATTTTAAATGAAGAAAAACAAGTCTAACTCTAAAGTATATTATAAAGTTTTAATTTTCATCCTCAATTTTAGGGATAATTTCAATGGAAAGCAGTCCTGTTGATGCTGTTGATGTAAAAAAGCAACTAGAAACAAATGCTGAAGAGCCAGCAAGTGTCACGCCCTTGGAAAATGCGATTCTTGTAATATATTCATTGATAACTTACTTAACTACGACGGTAAGTTCGACATACATAGCTTCTTCAGATAGAAGTATCGATCAATTACGGTTTTTTATACACAGGCCACCGGTGTGTAATTTGATGGGTTCTTAGCTCAGATCTGCGGCGTCAGAGCTGGGCATAGACACACCTCTAAAACATGGCTCTTCCCCTCCGGGATCTTTTAGTCCAGCGGGTAGATAAAGACCTTTACTCGAGACATAATATGATACGGGCAGAAAGTATTTTCCTGATGGAAGAATGATGTGTTGGATACATTGATTTCATTGTGGCAGAAGGATGGGCAGAGAAGGTCAGAAGTTTCAGCAGGAGCTGAAGGATGAACTGGAGTTTGATGCGTGTTGCTGAATAGAAGGTGGGAGATGAAGGTGGCGTGCAGTTAGACCGAGGAAATAACAGGTTCAGAGAAACAGAAGGTATTACAAAAAAAGGCTTTTTGGGGAGGCCAGGGATGTCTTTTTGGTGTTGAATAATTGAGGGTGCGATTGGGGGGTTCTTCTGGAAGGAGATAGGGAGAGAAGTTGTGTATTGTGACAGGTAGTGTTAGACTCTTTGGGATGGGGATCCTTGGAAAGTTTTAAGCAGGAGAGGGATGTGGTTAGATTTGTTTCTTAGAAAGAGTCGCTTATGGCAGAGTATCTATTCAGATTTATCTTTCTTAAGGGAGTCAGGATTCAAATGAGACTTTTAATCTATCTGGAAGCAGATCTGAGCTTTTTAGGACTTAGCTCCCCCTTGTGGTGTTTGTTGAAATTGGACATTTTTCTTGGTAGATTGCGGGAATGAGCAAGCTTTTCAGAAGTTGGAGGCCAAGTTGTCCTTGGACCTGAAAAGTATCCTCCCCCACAAAAATACTTTTCCACTATGTTCTGTTATTTGAAGACTTGTGTAGGAAAGAGGATTCCCCGCACCCTCATTCCTTAAAAATGCATGGGTTTTGAGCCAGGATTATCTGGTTTCAAATCCCAGCATTGAAAAGCTTGGGCAAAGTACTGAGCTCCGTTTAGCTGTCCTACGTCTTCCAAATGCAGATAATACCTACTCCAGTTGTAAGAATTGAAGGAGTTGATAATAAAGTGTCTAGTGCAGTGCCTGCCATTTTGTAGGATTTCACCTTCTGCCTGCTTCTCATGTGGATGGTCTGAGGGAGGCCTAAAAACATTGGATAGCTGGGGAATGCAGGAGAAAAGCCACCAGCATGGGGAAGAGTTTTTAGCTTTCTCCGTGGTTGTGGTGGTTAGCAGCGCCCCAGGTAAAGGTGTGGATGACCCGTCTAGTTAGAATAATGAAATTTTCAGTGATTAAGGCAGTTTCAGAATTCGAATTTGATTATCACAATGAATCATTGTCACTTCAAAAATTTAACAGCCTCCAGATGGAAGGAGTTCTTTTTTCATTTTCTTTGTGGATGTGCACAGAGCCCTTTTCCACATGCACAGATGTGGTATAAGACAGGGTCTCTGCTTGGGAGTGGTGTGGGAAGGCAGGGACAGGGAAGACCAGGGAAAGGGCACAATGTTGCAAAGTAACACGGACTTGAAAGGTGTTGTCAGGGAAGCATTTAGATGGCCCAGTATGTGCAGAGTGTTGTAGTAGGAATAGAAGATTCCGAGAGGTATAAAGCATGATTCTGATTTTGGAAAGGTATAAGAAAAGGGCGTATCAAATATATGAACATTGGGAAAATGGAAAGTATCTTGAAATAGGTTTTGTGAACTGTCAGGTAAGTAGTATAGATCATTCTTTGGTAGGGCTGGGGAGCATCGGGGTGCTGACTTGCTCAGGAAAACCGGACCAGAAGTCAGGCTCATGGATCCACAGTTGATGGAATCTTGGAGGTGGAAGGGACCTTTGGGGGCAGCCTGTCCAACTTCACTAACTGCAGAAACTCCTCTTCATCACCTGGCAGGTAGTTAGGAGATCTGGGGGTCAACAGCTCCTCGTGTGAACAACCTAACCTTTCAGGGCCATATACTGCTCTGTCGGCTCGCTCATTCTCTCACTGACTCCACATTTTCCTCTGCATGATTCCTTCTTGTAGAATCTAATTCTTTTTCTGCATAGTAACTCTAAATGTTTGAAGTGATGCTTTAATTTTTTAAGTGTTTTATCATGGAAAGTTTCAAACATACTCAAGCAGAGACAATTGTAAAATGAATCCATGGCCCATTACCCAGCTTAACAGTAATTCCTTAATATCACCCAAATAGTTGGCACATTGAAAATCCCCTTCCCTACTTTTAAAAATTGTTTTTGTTCAAATCAGGATCTTGATGAGGTCCAGATATTACAGTAGGTTGCCATATGTATGTCTTAAATCAACTTTAGTCAGATATAAATGACATACAATAAAGGTCACCCATTTTAAGAATACAGCTCAGTGAGTTTTAACAAATGTATTCGCTCATGTTAAAATAACCAATGACCAAGACATGGGACATTTCCTTCATTCAGAGACGTTTCCTCATGTGCCTTCCCAGTGTATCTCCCTTACCGCTGGCTCCCAGCAACACTATATTTCACTATAGGTTCTGTTTGCCCGTTGTAGAATTATAATTATAAAACGAACTTATACCTAGGTGTGAAACTGCCCTACCGTATGGGAAGTCTGTTTTATTTGAAAAGCTGCAAAACAATTCTGAAGAGTGACTATCCAGTCTATTCTTCCATAGCAGTTTATGAGACGTCCTTTTGGTCATATGTTTGCTAATGTTTGATGTTATTAGTCATAAATTGTAGCCATTCTAGTAGGCATGTCTTTGTGGGGTTTAAAAAATTTTTTTGTAAGTTCATTTGTTTGTTTTGAGAGAGAGAGCTCGTGCATGCGCGTATGCATGAGTGGGGGAGGGGCAGAGAGGAGGAGATAGAATCCCGTGCAGGGCTTGGTCCCATGATGGTGAGAGCCAAAATCAAGAGTTGGACGCCTGACTGAACCAACCAGGTGCCCCTCTTTGTGGTTTTAGTTGTATTTCTTGGTGGTAGATGTTGAGTACTTTTTCACGTGGCCATGTTTTGGGTGTTCATGTGTGAAATAGCTTTTCAAATCTTCTGCCCTTCTTTTTAAAGCTTATTTTATTTATTTAACTAATCTCTACAGTCAGTGCAGAGCTCAGACTCACAACCCAGAGATCAAGAGTCACAGGCTCTTCCGACTGAGCCAGCCAGGTGCCCCTCTTTTGCCCTTTCTTTTTTTTTTTTTTTTTTTTTAAAGTTTTATTTATTTCTAGGAGAGAGAGAGAGAGACAGAGTGAGCAGGGGAGGGTCAGAGAGAGAGGGAGTCACAGACTGAAACAGGCTCCAGGCTCTGAGCTGGCAGTCAGCACAGAGCCCGACGCGGGGCTCGAACCCACAAACTGCGAGATCATGACCTAAGCGAAAGTCAGACCCTTAACCGACTAAGCCACCCAGGCGCCCCTCTTTTGCCCTTTCTTAAACTGTTTTTTTTCTCATAAATATTAAGATCTAAGAGTTCTTCATATATTTTAGTTACAACTTCTTTGTCAGATATATATTATGAGTAATTTTTTCAGTCGATGGCTTGGCCTTTCAGTTTCTTAATGTTGCTTTTGAAGAGCAAATTTATGAATTTTTACCTTTATGGTGAGTGTATTTTGTTTCCTGCCTAAAGAATCCTAGGCCGTTCCAATGATGCAAATATTTTCTCATGTTTTCTTCTAGAACTTTTATAGTTACACCTTTCATGCTCAGGTCTCTGTTCTGTGTTGAGTTAATTTTTATGAATGGCATCAATTTTCGTATTTTTCCTTCTAGGGATATCCAGTTGCTCCTGTAGCATTTCCTTTCCCTTCCGATTACCTTGGCACTTGAGTAGAAATCAGCTGACATGTTTGTGTTTCTCTCTGCCCTCTGTTCCATTGATCTGTACTTCTATCCTAAGATAACACCCTTTTCTGATGGGTATAGCTTGATAGTAAGTCTTGGAATCAGGTAGTTCTTTGGCAAAATTGTTTTGGCTATTTCAGTTCCTTTGCCTTTCCATATAAATTTTAGAACCAGCTTCCTGAGATTTTGTTACTATGTCAAATCTGTAGATGAGTTTTGGAAGAATTAACATCAACAAATACGAAGGCTTCTAATCCAAGAACCAAGTTCATCTCCACGTTTAGATCTTTAGCTTCTCAGCAGTGTTTTGTAAGTCTGAGGTACAGGTATCATGCAGAGTTTGTTTGCCTGTGTAGTTCATGGTTTTCAGTGTTGTAAATGGTGTCTTATATCTATTTTACCATTTTTTTGTGCTGAGACAATGAAACACAGTTGTTTTTTCTATATTTGTATCTTCATTCCTTATTAAATTTATTAGTTCTAGGACTTTTTTTTGTAGATTTCATAGGATTCTCTGAGTAGTAGGGTGATCAAGTCATCTGTGAATAAACACACCTTTTATTTTTTTATGTTAAAATTTTTTTTAGTTTATTGTCGAGTTGGTTTCCATGTAACACCCAGTGCTCATCCCCACAAGTGCCCTCCCGCATGCCCATCACCCCCCTTCCCCTCACCCCCCCCCATCAGCTCTTAGTTTGTTCTCAGCATCAAGAGTCTCTCATGGTTTGCCTCCCTTCCTCTCTCCCACTGTTTTTCTCTTTCTTTTCCCCATGGTCCTCCATTGAGTTCCTCCTAATCCTCCTATACGTGCAAACATATGGTATCCGTCCTTCTCTGCCTGACTTATTTCGCTCAGCATAACACCCTCAAGTTCCATCCACGTTGCTACACACGGCCAGATTGCATTCTTTCTCATTGCCAAGTAGTATTCCACTGTATAGATGAACCACATCTTCTTGATCCATTCGTCAGTTGATGGACACTTAAGCTCTTTCCATGTTTTGGCTATTGTTGAGAGTGCTGCTATGAACATTGGGGTACATGTGCCCCTATGCATCAGCACCCCTGCATCCCTTGGGTAAATTCCTAGTAGTGCTATTCCTGGGCCATAGGGGAGTTCTATTGTTAACTTTTTGAGGAACCTCCACACTGTT